GCATCGTCTTTGCTGGTTCAGGGGCAGGGGGGGCCCTGGGGCGGTTGACGGGTGCATTGACTGGAGCTCTTGAGCAAAGCGCAGTGTGCTCAGTGGACCGGACCTTGAATAAGGTGCCCAGGCTTAAGCCCAGGTTGCATCGAGATTGGCTGTTTTGCTTATTTCCCGTCCGTCCCCTTGCATGGGGTCATAATCATTCCATCTGGTGCTTTAACACTTGAGCGGGAGATGCGAGAAGCCAATTCGATGTGTTGATAATATCAACCAAGCCAAAGTGGTAGCTGGAGGTCAAAGTTGGCCCCGACTACTATCAACTATTGTTCGATAAACCAATTCCAAAAAAATACCTTATCCAGTCTCGGTGGACTCAAGAAATTAACACTCCGTCTTGAACAATTTAATAAATTGCCAGACCGGGGCACCCGGACATTCTGGATGCTCACCCCAGAAGACAGAGACCGAGAACTCATTTCCCGCAAAGATCTCACTCACTGTGCTATATCTGGACTGTATCTGTCCGATGTCCACTCGTTCACCTCGGATTGTCCACCCAGAACTCGGGGCACCTTGGCTTTAACTGCCTGCACAGTAACTATGTACGTACGCTATTTTCTAGAACAAGTTAAGCTGAGTGAGGTCAGGTCCGGGTTGGTGATGGTGGTGGAGTTGTCCCCTGAACATCCAATCCATCCATCCAACCACGCCCGATTCGGTCTAAACCCAACTTGACTTGAACCCCCTTTTGGATCCATGGAATTGGGGTCGGTCAGGGTCAGTTGATGAATTCACTTGGAGTTGATTGACTTGAGTCGATCGTTGGTTGATCTGCATTGCGTTGCATTCTTCTTTCTTTGTCCTTCTTCTTTGATTGTCCTTGGTTCCCTCTCTTTCATCCAACTAACTACCTACCTAATCCATGAGAAGAAGCAAATAGGTAGACAAGGATTGGCAAGAAATACCTTCCTTACCTTGCTTTCCTCTGCTCTTCGACTCTTATCATTTCCTTCAATTCACCGTATCTGAACATCACCACCTCCATCGATCATTCCTGCCATTGAAGCCACACTCCAAACCGTCCGCTTTTCGTCGCTTCTTCCGGCCAACCTGCTGAAGCTTGGCGCTTCTGTTACCCATCGCCCCCTGAAAGGTCGCCAAAGTTGTGGGGGAGCCCTTCCAGTGGTTAAAAAGATTCCAACCATTATTTTAGCTACGGGTAGCCTGCAGCCTGCATTCATTTCGACCCTGTCCCCGTGTGGCGTCCATATGAGACAGGCTGGTGCTGTTCCAGTTCCATCTCTCTCCAGCATCATCTCGGTTTCGCATTTCTGTTTTTTCTTTTCTCCATCATGAGCATCAGCCTGGGACGCAATGCGCCGTTGTCCCCGATCTCTCTAGGCGGTAGCGAGTTTTCTGTATCAAAGTACCAAGGTCCCGAAGACGGCCCCTATCCCAACGGTCGCTCCAATCTCGCATCGCCCCCGAATTCGGGTGGCTCCAACAGCACCATGAGTATCAACGGTTTCCCCAGCGCTCCCATCAACGGTCCAGGACCTGGTCCCGGGCCCGGGCCTGGCCCTAGAAGCACTGGAGGTCCCTCGCCGCCTGCTTCAATTGCTCGGTCGAGTAACGGCACCCAGCTCTATGCTCGCAGCGAAAGTGGTCGTAACAGCGTCCGCGGCGATCTCGACGAGGCCGTCCTCAGCGAGCACTATGTTGCTCTGCGCACTTTTCTTAATACCCGCGACCCCAATCACAAGCAGCAGCCCAATAAAGCCCGCGACAAGCTTTTGCGCCTTTCCTCGGTTCAATTTTATGAGCTGAGTACCGATGTGTTTGACGAATTGATAAGACGACAGGCCACTGCCAGGGCTCCGCCGAATGCTCCAAATGGTCCTCCTTCCTTTCTGCTGCCCGAGAAGAACTTTCACCCAAAGCGAAACCAGGCTCGCCAAAGGCTATCGTCTCTTGGCCCACCGCGATTCCGAGATCTAGCCGCCGATGTCTATCACGAATTAGAACGAAGATTCCCTCGATTTGTAGGAGCCGACCTCGCCCGCACTGGAAGCCCTATGTCAATCAGGGGACCGGGTACTCCAATAAATGGTAATGGCTTCCCCCCTCGAGGTCAAAGCCGCATGAGGAGACCCTCTGATGCACCATCTATGAGAGGCCCTGGACCGACAGATGCTTACGGTATGCCAGCATCACCAGGTGCCCAGAATGGCGATTACGGACGCCCAACCCCGAAACAGCTCAATCAGAATAACACGATCGTTCCAAACAAAAGTATCATGCTCGAAGAAGACGACGAAGGTGAAGGATTTACAGAACCGGACCCGAATCGTGAGAGCAAACGGAGTGCTGGAAGCGGTGTGACTTCGGAGGTTTGTGCTGCAACATCTTGGGAAGAACAAGAAACCTAACATTTCGCAGGCCGATAAGAAGCTCATCGAGGACTATCAAAATCAGGTACGAGAACTACGTGAGAAACTGGACGGCATGGAGGACGCCATGAGGAAGAAGGAAGACGAGATGAACAGTGCGCTGAATCAGGAACGATCTCGATCTGCCACTACCAACCAGGAGAAACAGGAATGGAATGACCTGAGACTCAACCTTGAGAACAAACTTGCTGAAGCGCAAAACCTGAACGACTCAATGAAGCAAGAATTGCAGCGCGTACGAGAGGATCACGATATCGAGATACAAAGGCTTAGGGACGACGTGGCCGCAGCACATGAATCAGCACGCAGCACTGGGCCCGCTGCGTCGGACTCAGACCTTCAGCGAGAAAATGATGAGCTTCGACAGGAACTTCGAGAACAACAGCAGGTTACAGAAGAGGTTCGAAAAGAGGCACAAGAATTCTTGCTTGAGATGCGCGAACTTTCCCAACAGAGTGGCTCAACACATGAACGACACGCAGAGCTGGAACAGACAATCGAGAGACTCGAGCGCGAGGTTCACGAGTGGAAGAACCGATACGCGGGCGCCAAAACGCAATTGCGACACATGCGCGCATCTTCCGCTGGCCCCGGAATTGAACATGATGCAGCAAAGCATGTCCGGGAAAAGGGATTCATGGATGACCGTGGACTGGTCAAAGATGTTCACGTCACCAAGTTTCAAATCGCCATTGACGAACTCCTGCAAAAAGCACGAACCGAGGATCCAGAAAAGGTTATCGACGCAATGAAGCAAGTTGTTGTCAGCGTCCGCCGCATTACCAAGGACATCGAGGTCCCACAGAACAATGATGAAGACTTCGCACAGCAGCAGGCCAAGATTAGATCCAAGGTATCTTCTACCGCAAACAACCTCATCACAGCCTCCAAGAACTTTGCCCATAGTGCTGGAATGTCCCCAGTCTCGCTGCTTGATACAGCAGCGTCACATTTGGCAGCGGCCATCGTGGAGCTACTCGGCCTGGTCAAAATCCGAACAACTCCCGCTGAAGAATTGGATGATGACGACGGAACTGTAACTCCTGCGGATTCCAGTGGACTCTTTTCTCCTGTAGCTACCGAGCATCCTTCGACTGCTCAAGGCGGACTTCCTCCTCCACCGCCCTTCCAGGGTCTTGGTGGTATGCGAGGGAGCATTGAGTCTTCGGCATACAGTCCTCTGGGCTCACCCCGCCAATCCGCGGAGCCATATCCCGGAAGGCCCATGTCTAAAGCGAGCGCGGTACCAATCGGGCTTGGGCACTCCAATGCGAACAATCAAGCCAATGGGCAAGGATCGCATCAATTGGATCCCCGAGCCGCAGAGGACCTCAAAGTCAGTTACCCTTCGACGCTAGATCATCAACATGACTAACAAACCATTCAGCTCTACCTTGAGGATCAGAATGCCCTCCTTTCAACCGACATCCAGCAGCTCGTGAACACCATCCGGGGTGATGCTGAGATGCGACAGATTACTGGCGAGATTGGCTCTATAAATGCCGTTGTTAGCAATATCATTTCAGAAACACAAGCTTACGGCGTAGGCGAAATGGCAGCCTCGCTGGCAAACTGCAGAGCACGACTACTAGAGGCTGCTGACCAAGGCCAGGATATGGCAAACATTGGCATGGATACCAACTCTCACGAATGGCGCATGTGGGTACAAACCCTGCCACCCATCGCGTTTGGGCTGGCGCGTGAGGCCAAGGAGTTGGCTCAACAAGCCGACGATATGGCCAGACCGGGACGACCTGATGACTTTTCGTAATTACCTTTCACTTCATTTCTGAGAAACCGGGCTTTGCCTTTGCAACCGGAAAACGCTTTATACCCCCCTGAACGCCAGTTTTGACGCTGGATGGATTAGCTATTTGATGCTGTCCTAGTTTTTCGTCTTGGATTAGTCGACAATATCGAGATAGCGTTGAACGTATCTCGACGATGAGCGGGTTGAGATGAAAAGGGACATTTAGTTGGGTAATGCTGCACGTGGAAAGCATGGGAACGGCGTTAGGATTGCTGTTGGTAATGCATTGTATTCTGCAGACAGACATAGGCCCTGGATTAGTACATATTTACAAGTGTGCCGAGTACCAAGAGGAGGATCGAACATGGCTTTGATATTTGTTCAGAGCGAGGTAGATGACGTCCTCGAGTTCAGACAAGACTATACGATGGACGATGATAATATAGATAGACGAGAAATGGAATGTTATCGACTATCTATGATATCCTTTCCCGCGCCGTGTTTATGTCAAGTTTTGGTTGATTGAAGACCTAGAAATCTACCAAGTTTATTCTAATTACCTATCCAAAGCTGTCTAAATATTTACGTTACTTAGACAGGGCTATGTAAATAGCAAATGCTTCGTTTATCTGCTGCCGGGTATTAGACTTCAGCCCTATATAGAACCAAGCTCCCACTTTGTCAGGCATTAATTGGTTAGCCTCCACTAGAACTAACTAAGCGTCATACATAGACTGACACAAACCAACCCATCTCGATTCGACAGCGCACACGCATTCCAATTTAAACTATTAAGCCTAAATATAATGGCTGACAGCCCCGGATTCCGCAGAAGAATCCTTCTGCTTGCCACAACAGGCGGTTTCACTCATGCAGGTACCTCCCTCCCCAGAACCCTCTAGTTAACTTATACATATCAAAGCTAACACTACAATAGCTCCAGTTCTCGAAATAGGCGCTGTGCTCGCCTCTCGAGGCCATGATGTGCAATTCGCTACCTGTGCAGGTCAGGAAGATTGGACAGCCAATTATCCCTTCATAAAAACCGTATATACCGTTGGCCCCGCCGCTTCGGAAGATGACTTGGATGTCCACTACGAATCAATGCGACTTTGGCGTCATGAGCACGGCTTCGGCCCCATGATGAGGTCAAAATACTTTTTTGATAACTTCTGGACTGATACTTACAAATCTCTTCGATCTTTATGTGAAAATGACTCTACGAGGCCTGACTTCATCGTTGCAGATTTCTTCGCCGACAGCGCCGCGAGGGATATGCTCAAACAGTTCAATATCCAACTAGCGAGCGTCTGGCCTCAAATGCCTTATGCCATGGCTCCTGTTAGCTACCATCCCGGCCAACCTGGATTCCAAGCCGATGGTGTTTTGACTTCGGAGCATGCTTCTCTGTCATCACGGTTCTGGAACGAATTTGTGGTTCTCGCCGCGTTGCCTACTATCATCCCCTGGTTAATATGGACCAAACGAATGCGCGTTGATGCTGGCGTCAACTATAGCCACTCTCTTCTGTCTAAGCCCGATTATCTTGTTCTGGTCAACTCCTTCTGGGGCCTTGAAGCGCCGAAGGAGTTGCCGCCTCTTATGGCACCTGTGGGACCTATCTTGAGCGACGAATACCTTCCATTGGACCAAGACCTGGCTCAGTTTCTGAGTAGCCATGATAGGACCATCTACGTGTGCCTGGGGACGCATGTCAACCTTCCAGGTGAAGAACTTGAGAAGTATCTCATTGGATTCATCCAAGCTCTCGACGAAGACTCGATCAATGGAGTCATATGGTCTATTCCTCAAAAGCCTCGCGCCAATTTCGACATTCTGAAGTCTTATAGTCTATCTGATGGCTCTAGCATATCCATAGCTGATCTTCTGAACGACTCTCACCCGCATTTTCGGCTTCCCATCTTTGCACCGCAGCGAGCCATCCTAGCACACCCTAACACTGTCCTTTTTCTCACTCATGGAGGCGGCTCCAGTGCAAACGAAACTCTCTTCCATGGAACACCGGTCCTCGCCATCGGATACTTCTTCGACCAGCTCTGCAACAGTGCCCGACTAAAAGCTGCTGGTGTGGGTATGTCTCTCGACAAATCCTACCTCACACCATCTTCCATCTCCTCCGCTATTGCAGAAATCATAAATGACGAAGATGGTTCCTTTGCAATGAATGTCCGTCGTATGCAAGGCATAGCAGCTCTCAACTCTAAACGCAAACATCTTGCTGCTGATCTCATTGAGGAAGTTATGATAGACCAAGAACTTCGATTCAAGAAAGGTGCTGAGTTGCGACCAATGCATCTGCAGACAGCAGATATGCGTATGCCTATATGGAAGGCGAGAAATTGGGATATGTGGTCCATAAGCCTCACGGGCCTCGCAGTTGGTGGCGTGGCAAGTTGGTGGTTTGCAACACATGGCTGGAAGAAGTTACCGGTCATACTGGCACGCCTTGTAAGACTCAGTAGAGGGCTTGCGAGGGGAATACTCGGCATTCCCAGATCATGGTGATTCTATACAGCTTGGCCGGGAACATGTAGTGGTACAATATATATGTACAGATAGAATGGTCTGCATTAAGGCCTTGCTTGTCAAGTCCCTTCTCTCTTGACTTGGCCATGCTCTCCCTCGCCTTTTTACCCTGCTACAATGAATGTGATATTCTGCAACCTGATTCTATAAATTAAAGATAAGCTCCGTAACGCCCTCCTCCGGGAGCAAGAAAACACCAGACCTTGATCTAGGGTGCCAAAATAAACTTATCAAAGATCCCCTAAACTTCTTAGGCTAAATTTACCTAAATATTTTTATTGCTTAGGGTTAAGGTTTTATGTTTTCTTTCCTCCCCTAGGCCCTCTTATTTCTGCTAGCTATTCAAGTTCCTAATTGTTACAAGATACCTTGCGAATTCAATACTCAGTACCTAGCCCACTATCACTTTGCATAAGGTTGAAATAAATAATTACTAATATTCCTTCTGTAGAATTTGTGCCTAGTTCTTAAATTTATTAACTAATGAATTCCTTTTGCGCCAGCCCTATACAAGTCGCAACTACCCCGCAAAGCATAAGATCTCAAGCTATGAGCCAAAAATATGAACTTGTTGATCTTTAACTATCAACACCTCATGTATCACGATGATCGTGGCAGGGTTCGAACCTGCGACCTTTTCCGATAACTTGTTTTATAACATGTAAAGGAAACATGATAATACCACTACACCACACGACCGGGTTTAAGGTATTTCGCATTTTATTTAGGTATATATCTTACAGTCTGCAGAATCTATGGTTAACTGAAGAGTAGAGCATAAGGCCAACAGACAGCTTCGAAGGAAGTCTTTATATCAAACATATAAGAACTAATTATGATAAGCTATGTATTTGTTATAGTATCTATGATTCAGCATGACTTATTCAAATCTCGTTTAGCCCACAACTACTATTTAGGTGATGTTCATCCATGCCCCTTCCCAGCGCTTATCTTATCACTCACAGTTAGGTCCTGATCTGACGTCGCGCAGGAATTTCGATTCACTTAATAAACTGCCAACTCCAGAAACGACATCTCACAACACGAACTCACCACAATCGCAATGTCAAGAGCCAATGGTCCTCTACGAACATGCCTGCGGCAACTCGTACGCTCAGAGGGGTACGGGTCATCCAACAACCTTCTCATCATGCAATTGACTGACCGACCAAACCAGCCCAGCTCCCCTCCGATCGATAGCCGCTACACCCCGCGCCTTCTGCACGTCTCCCTCTCTGCTCAAGAAGCGCAAGATCACAGCCCCTAGCAATAGCCCCAACAGCGCCAATGCAAAGGCAGCTGCAGGCTCTATGAACAAGGCCGAGTTCGACACTGCAAAGGTGCCGATGCCCGATCCGGAAGATCCCCTCGATTTTACAGCTGTTGTTGCTGCGTATGCTCCTATTGATGCGCACTTCAAGACCCAGCTGGCGGGTATGATCCATGGTGGACGATTCAATCCAACTAATTTGGGATCGCTGCCTGTGCCCATGAAGGATCATGAAGGCAATGATGTAACATTTCCCCTACGAGAGCTGGCGCAAGTCGTTCCTCGATCTGGCCGAGCTATTTCACTGCTCGTGAACGACAAGGAGTACATCAAGCCTATCATGTCAGCGGTGCAAGCAAGTCGTGAGTTCAATCAGCAACCGCAGCGATCAGAGGACAACGAGCTTGAGCTTCTTCTCAAGGTGGAGCTCGAGCGCAAGGACGACGTCGAGCGACGAATTAAAGAGACAGTACAGCACTGGAAGGATCGCATTCGCAATGCCAGATCCAGACATGAAAAGACACTCAAGGACTGGAAGAAGTCAGGTACTGTCCTCCCTGACATTGTCAAAAAGGCCGAGAAGGAGCTTCAAAAGGTACAAGACAAGAAGATGAAGGAAATCGACCAGGAAGAAGCACAGACCATCCGTCAACTATAGATGGTAATTGTATCATAGGATAGATGCAGAACATTGTAGTATTACATATCGTGACAAGTGTACACTGATCCTAGGATCTAATCTTTTAAGCACGCGCCTTTGCACCCTTTCCAGCAGCAGGCTTCTTAGCCAACAGCGACGTCAACTTGGTCTCAAAGGAGTTGACATCGTTGGTAGAGTAAGTCTCGGCCCTGAGATGCCATGAGCGAGAGGTACCAACAGGGTCTGAAGCGAACTTGGGTGTCTCATGCTGGCCCTGGATGGCCTGCTTCGTGATGACCTGACGAATAGCCTCTTCGGTGTCTGTGAGGATGGGACCTGTGGATTCTTTGCCTTCAGCCTTGAGCTTCTCCTGCAGGTACCTCTCGGTAGCCTCCTTGTCTTTCGGGTCGGCAAAGAAGCGAACACCATTGGCCTCAATCTCAGAGGCGTAGTATTTGGGCTGGAAGGTGTCTGGTGCACCGACATGATCCGCTGTACCGAGGACACTGAGATTTTGGAGAACTGCAGCTGATTTTCCAGAGGCGGAATTTGGTGCAACGGGCGCAAATTCGTTGATAGATTCGAGTGAAAGAGATGGTCTGTATGCGGAGGTGATGCCGAATCGAATGCTGTCGTCAAAGGACTTCTCATCAGGATCCAATGTGCTGAACTCGTTTCGGTCGATCTTCTTCTTATCCTTGTCCTCTTCATCCCTTGATCGTCGATCGTTGGTTCTTCCACCTCGGCCACGAGCACGGCCTCCACGACCGCCTCGTCCTCTGCTCGCACCGAAGCCACCACGACCTCTTGTCGGTGAGGAGGTTCGAACAGGTGTGGTGGATCGATCCTGAACTGATGATCCTCCCCTAGCAAGTCCACCCCGACCTCTGAACATAAGACCTCCTCTTCCACGAGCTTCACCGCGCCCTCTGAGACCCCCACGTCCGCGCAAGGGCATGCTCTTTATATCGATAACCTTGGGACCACCAGCCGGGCTTCGAGGTGGCCTCGGAGTGCTGGGGCTTGGGCCATCGGCAGCCTGGAACTGCGTTGTCGAGAATTGGCGGGCGTAGTTTCGAAAAGCATCCGAGACCTGCTCGAGCTCTGGCCTTGTCCGGCTGCACACCGAACGGAAGGCGTGGCGTTGCATTTTGGGGTGGTTGTCTGATGTGGTGAAGCTGATTGTCCGTGGTTTCGACAATCAATTTTCGCGGCAAACCCAATGACTAAGCATTTCACCCCGCATTGGCCAATCAATCATCAACATCACATTCGATCAAGTGCAAGTCATATATATATAAAAGGATAAACATATTTATAGGAACTGCCTGTACTCAATTCCTGGTGCTATGCACAAATCAAGATCTTGCATCTTGCTATAAGCCCATAATACTCTATAAGGCATCCTTCCCGATCCTCCAACCAGTGATTTACAAGTGCGCCTCAAGTATAGGCCAACCTTTCCCAAACTCCAAAGCGTATACACAGCGGCGCCATTCTGGGATTTGTGTACCAATTCAACCATTTCAGGTCTTTTGATTAGGACAGTCACGTCCGTCACTCGGAACAGAGCCGCGACCTTGCGGCTGTCACACCGTGGTACTGGCAACTGGATACCGAGTGTACTTGTTCTCGGCACACAAACCCATTCTGACCTTCTCATACTCTGGCTCAACAGTCGATCTGCTTGCGTCGCTGATTCTGGTGAAATTGGACAGCAATGTCCGGGTCGCCCTCGGATTGCCGTAGTTCGTTAAATGAATGTCTCAAAAGAGGATGTGGCATAAAAATCGGATTCGTGTTTGCAATGTATACTATTACACGCTCTGAGGTTGAACCATAGCGGGCTGTGACAATGATTAGACAGGATTTAAAGGTGCTTGTTTGTGGAACATACCGGACTGTTGAGCATGTGCTGTCGCTTGTTTCGGCTCTTCTTGATATGACTCTTCAAAGCGCTCGAGTCAAGAGGCTTGAGAAGCTCAAAGCTGCATAGCAACTCCGCAGATACCGACATAACAGCGCCCCAGTTATCGAATTCACCGCAGTACTATAAGAGTTAGCCGGATATCCGAGGAGACGTGGAGATGGGTAACTTACATTGGGGGCACTAAAGACTGTTACCAGAACCCTATCATTGAAGAATTCATAACCATCCTCAACTACCATGTGCGCACGACAGATAAGATCAAAATCATGCACTGCTAAAAATTCGGTAATGACTCGTTTGCCAAAACAATAACTAACACCTCTCTCGTTGGCTTCCCAGTCTTGTTCCATGTCTGCGGGGTCAGACCAAAGAAGATCGTTGAGTAGTCCATAATCGGGGACATCAGTCGGACGAGCAATGTTTCGAATATCGTCCATGTGAACTAGTGCAGGTGAAAGTCCTCCGTGAACGCAGAAGATCTTGCCCGCGACAATGGCCGCAATGGGAAGAGTGTTAAAGCAGTCAATAAACGTCTTCCAGATTTTGACATTGCACCTTCGCTTGCATTCATCGTAGAAGCCATAAACTCGCGTGACATTGGCGCACTCGTGATTTCCGCGGAGGAGGAAAAAGTTCTCGGGGAACTTGAGCTTATAGCAGAGGAGTAGCAGGATAGTCTCCAGAGACTGCTTACCTCGATCAACGTAGTCGCCGAGGAAAAGGTAGTTCGAGTTAGGGGGGAAACCACACATCTCGAACATTCGGATAACATCGGTATACTGGCCGTGGACATCACCCACGACCTTTACTGGAGCATCCAACTCCAAGAGAGCAGGCTGTGACAGCAGAACTTCCCTAGCCCTCTGACAAATGGCCACAATCTCAGCATTCTTGAGGCAGACGCTCTTGGTGACCTTCCCAGCATAGCCCGCATCCAAGAGTCGCTTGATGAAGTCGTCGAGATCGATATCCTTAATCTCAGACATGGCGACATTAGAGTTTCCTTCTGTCTTGGACTCTGCAGAAGGGCTGTTGACTGGGTTAATGGTGTTTTCTCGCTTCACCAAAATAGACTGGCCTGGAGCTTGCATGTGCGCAGTCGCTCCAGCGTTGACAGACGGAGGCTGGTCAGAAACATGATCAACCTCTCCCGACGCTTGCGCAGCGCTCACATCGTGGGCACCGCCCTTGGTGTTTCCTTGAACGGGAGATGGAGGCGGCTGATCGTCTCCAATAGCCGAATCTGCGAGGGCTGATTCGGCTGCTGACATGTCCGACGCAGCGGTGTTAAGCGGAGGAAGCTCACTGCGGCTAAGTCGAGAAGAGCTTGAACGTCCATGCCTACTGGATCGTCGTTCCTCAGTCTTTGTTTCGGTCACAGTATCACCATTGGATAGAACCTGTGAGTTCCTAGGACTATCAGACTTGCTACCACGGATCTTTGAGCCTAGAGATCGAAACGAGCGGGACGATTCCTTGGTGTCAGATCTGCTGAATGATGGGTAAGACTGGAGGGGTGCATCAGGCCCGGCCGAGCCGGAGCCTTTGGAGTTGGATCCGCCTGGAGTGGAGTTGTTGTTTCCCATGATATTGCTTCCCGCGACTATAAACAGTGGTTGTTCCAAACTTCACTGATAATGGGCGGCTCGGTTCGTAGCGATTCTCTTCGGCGCAGCTAAGGTTGAGCTTGGATCAAGGGAGATGTTAGGGAGGGTGAAAGAATCGATCGAGAGTTAAGAAGAAGGAGGAGGAGCGGCTACGACGACCCCTTGATGCGTCCGTTTTGGGCAGTTTTGAAAGATGCTTCAAGTTGAAGCACGAGATATTGAAGTGAGTCTGCGGGTGGGTTTTGCGGCTGATGACGTCGTGGGGAGGCTTGTTAACGCCGGGATGAGGCCGGAGACGATATAAAAGGCGAACGGAACGAGATCGGAGATAACGCTGAAATAGCAAAGACCGAGTTCGAATCTGGAAAGAGTCCACGTTAGTCTGAGTCACACTTGAAGAGGTTGACGTTGAGTGAAGATTGCGTATGGCAGGGTTGCGGCGCATTTCAAGTGTTGACGACGCGAGTGAAAAAAATAGGTATAGCCACAGTGTGGAGGACCAGGTCGACTTACATGGAGTGGAGGAAGCTATCGGAGGAACTGGGCAGGACAAACTAACAGCAGAAGCAAGTGAAGTAATCGTAAGGTGAGATTGAATGAAAAATCAGATTGCCAAGGCGTTTAAAGGCAAAACGTTGAGTGTCAGGTGTTGGTGGAAGATGGTATCGGTATCGGTATCGGTATGGTTATAGGTATAGGTACAGTTTGTAGGTGCTACAGTGCTGTAGCGGCGATGGAGCAAGATATACAGCGGGCGGAGTAGTTCGCATACGATGACGTCGATAGAGTAGAAAGGACGATAAGTCGAGTGCCTGAATCAGACACTGACGCAAAGAATGATAGGCTCAATTATCAATTGCAGCGTGTGAGGATCTAGAGTTTGTTGTGAAAGAGGAAAAAACAATGGGATCAAGTGTGTTGTAGAAGTGAAAAGATAACTAAGTTAACTAGAGGTAGCAGTAGAGGTTAGGTAGTGGTAGTCTCGTCTCGGCAAGGTATGTACACACACTAACACATCCACCTAGACCTTGTTCCCTACCCCAAGTCTCTTACTCCCTCTCCCTCACAAAGCAAAGCAAAGAAAAAAGGCCAAGACGAGATGAGGAGTCAAGATGAGCCCAGTTGAGAGCCTGCAGCACGTAGTAGAGCAGCGGAGGGGAGCCGGATAAGGTCAATTTGGAAGCGAAGTGGCGGCTCAGGCTCATCAGGCTATGGGCAGACAGTGGAGGACGGGCATGCTTGGACAGGCACAGGCTATGGATTAAGGTTCCACACCCTCTTCTCTTCAATCTCTTGCTTGTCGGACAGAGTTTACAGTGATTTCGAACTAGGGCGTCTTGTGGTTAGTGACAACAGTTCAGTTGACGTCTTGAGAGGATCATTGGACGGAGCTGACCTCGTCGTATTGAGGTCACTCGAGACACAGACAAGACGACATCCAGACAGACAGCGGCCAAAAAAAGACTGAAACAGAAGCTCAATGACAAGCACCGAAGCCAAGACTGGTTCGTCCGGGGTGGTTCTTGATCGGCGCCCAATGGAGGGGAGGCTCAGCAATGCGAGGTTGGGCGTGAAGCAGGGGTATCAAGCGATTGCTTGGACGATACTTGAGAATGTGGGAGGGCCAAGCTTGACGAGACTTGATAAGAGGCAAAGATTCTCAGCACGTCGTCTATTCTCTGCTGTTGCCTCTGACTCCATATCCTCGGCATTCGCCCTCCGCATAACCTGTCATATGGCGGTTTTCCACGGTAGTCGTCTCATTATCTTTGGGTCTCGGGACCTGAACCGGAGACTCGAGACAGATTCGGATTGGTAAGATCTAATCTGGACTTCTATGAAAATCGACATGGATTGATTCGTCACCCAAAGACGACGAAATGCAACGGCTTCAAGGCCCGGGCACCCCTGATAACTAACCCGAATCCCTGGAGATTGACACTCAGACTGACCTGAGTTGGAGACAACCGTTGGCACGTGCGAGAGCTTGTTCTGTCTCGACCATTCACTGAGCCAAAGAAACGAGAAACTCGGTCAGACATTCGGACTTCTCGATCCAAATCAGTTCACATATAACTACAACCACTGTACCAACTATTCAGAGCAGCCGCTACATAATGGCGAAAAGGCCAAGTCTCAACCCCTCTTTCTTCCATGACTACATACGAGAGCATAATGATGTATCGAATTACACTCTATCGGTCAGCTCTTTTGAGGCCGCCGTTCTCGCCTCCGTAGTGAACCAATAGTTTGTCACACTAGACACCACGATAACACAGTCTCTGTGCAGTGACAGCTGACTATCCCTCGTGCTTCTCTCACCGAAGACATCCCCGCGTTGGCTTGCCAGGTTGCAGCTGGTCTAGTGCACACTATTCCTATTCCGTGTAAAGGTGAACAACACCAAGGAGAAGCATCACACACTGTAACGATGTAAGACAAAACATGATTAACAACAAACTACTCTAACATTATGGTTTTTGTATTTCCTATGGCATCAAATTTGGCGTACTAGCCTCAAATGATCATCCATGCCTTCAAAACCATGTAAGTGCCCATTACTTCTCACCCTTCCAAAATGAAGTCAATCCTACCATAAGGACGGACACTCTTGGTTCCACCGACCAATCTCGTTCTGCGGTAGCTGCTCTTCCATTCTTCTTATTCTCCCTCACCGCAGATAGCTGTGGTGACTTAATCGCACACCACCGTGGCCTTGCAAAGAGTCATCTCACTGTCGTAGTTGCAGCCATCAGCGTTTCCAATCTTGATGAGCGCCGGCGAGATGAAGAATCCGACAATTGTCTTGGAGGAAGGTTCCTTGGTGTATGCAAGTGACTCCATCTGATTTGCGTCAAAACGCTGCAGTGTTTCGGATTGTCCGTCTTGGGGCCAGCGAACCAAGAAGATCGCCCTGGAGCTCATCAACATCTCGTCAAGATCCAGTGCTGCCTCAAGGATGGCTTTCATTTCTTGCTGGAAATCGGTTCCCGATTTGTCTGCGTTGATGTTGCAAAACGATTTCAGTATCTCAACTTCAAGTCGTGCCTCGCGTCTAAAGGCGTTTTGGTCACGCCCGAAGAAGTGTCCAAAGAGTGCTGTGCCCTGGGCAAACCATCTCGCTACATTTCGAAGCGTTGGTCCTGGGCGTGAAGGGTTGTCAATTTCTGGAGCATATTCTACAAGACTCGTTAGTTATATCATGTGCCATCTAGAAAGTCCGAACTAACCGAGAAATGCAGCTCGCATGGCCTTCAGGTCGATGTTATGGCCACCACTGCAGAATTCCCTTCCGGTCGTGAAGACAGTCTCTACGATAGTCCAAATATAAGCACCGATGAGAAAGCTCTTATAATCATCGACGCCAAGCAGTTTTCGCCAGGCTCCGGAGACCTCATTCAATCGGTTTCTGGTCACTTTGCTTAATGGCACTCTCGTCTCACACTTGGCCAAGACACTTGCCAGGGAGCGAATGTTATATTCCAGCTGCTTCCACTTGCTCTGAATTTCTTGATCCGATATCTTGGCTGATCCTGTCCAGTTGACGCCGTCAGCGAGTCTTCGCAGCTCGTCTCGCTCCTTGGCAGTCTCGTCGTTCTTGGCGTTCGCCTCCTGCAACTGCTTCTTGAGGATCTCGTGTTCAAGCTTCAGCTGTAGGTGCTGACTGTTGATGTCTGAAAGTCGTTTGTAAGCTTTCTGAAGATCGTGATTCAAGTCTGGGCCTTGGTTCATCCACTGGGACACGATGGCCCCGAAACTGTTGGCAATGTTGGACAGACGGTCCGCTGCTTGCTGAAGCGCAGATCGCTGTGCCTCAGCTCGTCGATCAGAAACCTGGAGAAATGCGTTTACCCGTCCTTCCTGTGTCTGAAGGAATTCATTCATTGCAAGGGGATCAGCAAGGTTGCCCAAACTCTGGGCATGGGTATTGCCATGCTGTCCTGAGCCGCCTTCAGGACTACTGACATCAACTAGAGGCCCCAATGCATGATATTGGTGAGGGTATCTAGGAGCTGCTGCTGCATAAGGGGTCCCGTCAGGCATTTTGAGTTGACTGTTGCCTCCTGCTTTGATATTCGTGCTCAATAGTCTTATGAGGCTTGACCAAAAATGGTATCTGTCGAGGTTTCTCAGCAAAAGCTCAGTTCCGATTCACTTCACAAGACGACATGATACTTACTGAATGTTGACTTGGAAGCAAATCTGTATTCCGAAAGAGATGATGCAGGAGGTAAAGCCCCTGCTATCAGAACACTTGGCAGCAAAGCAAGGACAAGGCGCAGGCCAGCCATCTGGCCCCCCTATGCTCAACAACGAATGAAAGTGGCAGCCAGGCAGGCAGGCATTCTGGATCCGCGCCCTGCTGGGCCGACTACTCTCCGTTTCGTCTCTGAGCCAGAAGCTGCAGCACTGGCCACCATTAAAGATCTCTCCAAGCGCTCGAGTATCAATGTAGGCATTCACATCACTATCGGTAACAGAATTTCCGTGGGCTGATGTATGGGCAGGCTGGTGACACAATCGTTGTCTGCGATGCAGGAGGTGGCACAGTTGTACGTTCATCTCAAGCCAGAAACTTGACTCTGCTGACATTTCAAAGGATCTCATTAGCTACATTTTTCAATCAACCGATCCATTCGTTGTCAAAGAATGTGCCAAAGGTGATGGTTAGTCAAGAAACGCATGCCAACTTACCGAGAGAACTTCAACATAACTAACTCACAGGCAGGTGACCTCTATGGAGGAGTTTTTCTTGACGAGGCCTTCATCAGATTTGTCAAGAAGAAGAGTCCCAAGGGTACATGGTACCCTGTCACTAAGACTGAGGAGAGGAAGTTCCTAAATGACGAGTGGGAGCATGGTATCAAACCTCAATTTGAGAATTAGAAGCGGATCTGGTCGCTCACTCTCCCTGATACTTGTGTCAACCCTTCCAGCCGAGGCTTCATACGCCGTATGACACTCGATCTCACATCGTAGGTTCCATGATAGCGGATCGAAACGCTGAGCTGACTCTGGCATAGCCATTTTTTCAGTGTTCTCTCCGATCGTTGACAAGATTGAGGTCCTCGTCAGACGCCAGGTCGATGCAATCCATGACAAATACCAAGAAAAGCCCAAGGTATGTGAAAGAAATGCTTGTCGGTACTGTGCTCCTAACTTCCTGTACAGTACATCATCCTTGTCGGTGGTTTCGGCCGCAGTCGCTTCCTTTTCAATCATCTTCAGGAACGATTTGGGCGCATTGTCTTGCAGTCCAGTGGAAACAAGCCGTAAGCATTCAATTTTTCACCTCATAAAAACGAGAACGGGGTGTTCCTAACGATTCTATAGTTGGACTGCCATTTGCCGTGGTGCGGTCGTGCAAGGTCTCGTCCGACATAACCCCTTCGCTAATCTGGGTGTCGAAGTTGAGGCACGGGTCGCTCGAATGAGCTATGGTATCAAATATACAACTCTTTTCATCGAGGGTCACCACAAAGAGGCAGACAAGACGTGGTCCCACGTATATCAACACTATCGGGCCAAGAACCAAATAGCATGGTTTCTGAGAGAGGTAAAGAAGAAGCAAACGCGGAAAGCCTCATTACTGACATGGCTTATAGGGCGAGGATATTTCAGGGAAGAGATCTGTTTTACACTCTTACGTCCGATTGCTCGAAGCCCCATCTTTCAAAGGCAGTGAGCAGATTTACTGTTCAGCTTCCTGTGCACCTCCTGGGCGGTATGGCGACTCGGATGACATTCACCGCTTTTGCACAATGAAATGGGACAAAATTATCGATATTGACGCACTTCCGAAGTGGACCAACCCCATTGGTGCTGTATACTTACGATTGGACTACGTTATCAAGATGGATTGTGAAGATGGCACTGTGAACTTCTCAGTGTATTGCCAAGGATCCAAAGTCGGCGAGGAAGAAGTTGAGGTTCAGTTCAACTGATGCAGTAACTGTATCATTCTCTCATCAATAGCAGAGGTGTCCAGATCATGGATAGTTTGATGGAAGACGGGGCCTTGAGATATATGCCCGTAGACGGACGATCAGGGGCCAAAGATTGAGAGGACATGGCAGCAATTTCGGTGGAGATGACCTCTTATTTATGAAGTGAGGCTGAGAGGGTTTTCCCAACGCAGGACCAGGCGTATAGCACTTTGTATAAATCATGTATCTCAACTCATAACTCGCATGTGTCTTTGATCTGTCGTTAAAATGAAAGGTAAACATGTTGTGATGTCTTGATGGGTTTCATGAAAATCATAATCCGATAATTATACCAGCACTTCCTCCCTCTCGTAGCCTTTTCTGTACAACAAGCCTACCCTATGTCAATGCGGAGTTCACCACATTGATGCCGGCACCGTGCCTGTAAGTTCAAAACATCGGTCAGTACGAAAAGCAAGTACTAGCTGCATGTGGAAGAAGGACTTTGGTGATAGGTGACAAAGTCGTGGCAGCTGAAGTCAGCATCTTTCAGACTCAGAGCTTGGCCCTTGCATATGTAAGCTTGACCATTCCCAAACCGGTGATGATAAATGGTCAAAATGCAGACGAAAAGTCGGTGGATCAAGGTAAATCTCTCTTTTCGGGGTTGATAGTGGGATGAATTGATAATTGAGTTTGATGTCAAAATAAAGATGCCGCAGTTCCATCATTCGTTGGCTCCCCCGGAACAAAATTATCAATCAGTTCCCATGTGCCGGTAACGGCGTGGACCGAAAGGCGGTGCAGCAGAGTCTGTAAGCTTCCAGGCTGTCACTGGAAAGCCAGCGTAATGTGGGGGGACCCTAGAAAGCGAGTGAGACTGAGACTGAGGGAGGGCTGAGCGAGGCAAAAAAACGCGGCAAAATCTAAAATTAGACGCGGTCTACGTACACATTCTCGATACCCGGGACTAGCAAAAAGGCTGTGTTTTACAGATGGAGGGGAGGCTTTGCATGTCAGTTCCTTCAGACAGGGGAGTAATCGATAATATCGCGAAAAATGTCTTGTTCTGTATGATCTCTTGTAAGGCTGCATTTACCTGAGCGAATAGAGCGGGCTTTCATCCCACATCGCGATTGTGGATAAAGATTGGGCATGGTAGGTACTTTGACGTAACAGAGGCTGACAGCTTCATGCTTTAATTATTCGTTGTCAGCACAACGGGTGTTTCCATCTGACACCCGCTCTCTTTGACAACGGTAACTCAATCTTGCACAAACTTAAACTGTGTGACCTTTGAGCAAAAATACAGTTGTACCGACCGTCTGTGTTATCCCGTCCAGTTGCCGTAGTCATAAAAGTCAGTCATCCCGTTTGTTTTTCCGTGTTGATCATGGAGAAAAAATTCAAGTGGTGGTGCTGGAGGTGGATCATTATCCTAGCAGCTGTCGTCAGCAACAAAAGCTCAGGGTCCCTGCGTTTTTGACCCTGTAGGGGTATGGATCCATATTTTGGTTCGATAATCGTAAAATGTTGGAGGAGGAAGAAGTGATCCGTGGTGTATCAGTTGCGGAGCAATGTCATCATGACTGTTAATTCCGCAATAGAAACTTTCATCGGTGTATCAATCAATTATCACCACTCAAGCTTCCTCCAGCCACCAAGATCATGTACAGACAGTAGGCTGCCGGGCCAATGACATGATCGTCATGTTGATCGTGGGGAGATCCAAAGCTTACAGCAGTTCCTCCTGCGACACGACCTGACGAGCGCAGATAACCTCGCTGTAGCCACAAGCCAAGGGCATGTTTATTTTTCAGCTGCTTCAACTAGCACAGCCTGAACGAGCAAATTTAACGTGAGCTGCGCCCATTCAAGGTTAGACAAGCGAAAAGCGAACAAGCTCAGCTTCATCAAAAAGAGTGAAAGCGTGGATGAGTGGCTGAGCGCCTATCTCTCCACTGTGATCGTTCTAGTGGGAACCTGACCTCAAGCTGTAACAACCAGGCTTGGGCTTTTGGGCTTGGGTAACTGGGGGGAGTCGTAAGCGCAACGCCTCCAGGCGGACGAGGCAGAACGTGATACCTAAGCACTGTACGATGCCACCACTCACATTGCAAGAGGCACAGTGTGAACTGAGCGCGGGATCTTGCCTGTCCGGGGTGCAGGGGCTCGCTGCGCCACTCCACGTCAACCAACATCCAACCCCCCCTCATCTGGTTGCTAGTGCGTAACTGTGCTGCAGCACAACGGTTAGTGCTCACGCCCAGCCCAACCTGGAACTTACCTATCATCCTGGGTTGTGTTCAGCTTTTATAAAACCATCCTCTTCTTCCCTCTGGTGATATTATTTCCTCCTCTATTATCTCGCCTCATCTCATCTTTCCCTTTCTTACGTTCGCGTCATTTCCTATCTGTCGCGTTTCGTTCTACCCTCTCGAATAGAGCCATTCGCTTATAACAGCACAGCACTCGTTCTGCTAACTCTACGTCATATACCGATTCGATCTCCGAATCCGCCGCATACCTAAAAACAACCTCCAAAAACCACACCACACACAGCAACAATGGGCGTCGGTCGATTCTTCTGCGTGCTATTGCCGTTCGTGCTCACAGTCGGCTCCATCATCTTCCTACTAGTCGGTGCTCTCGCTGGTGTCGCCGATAAGTCTCTCTACATCTTCCGAATCGATGTCAAGAACCTCAGCATCAGCCCTGCCGATGTCGGCAACATTATCGACAACCTTGACCTCAAGAACTTAAAATTGGATACCCGCGATGTGCCTATCATTGAGGAGCGTGCCGCCACGGTCAAGGACAACATTACCGCTGAGCTGCTCGGTCTCGACAAGTACTACGACATTAACCTCTGGGGTTTCTGTAAGACCGACTCAGATGGCAAGCGAAAGTGCGAGAAGCCCGAGTTTGATTGGGCCAACAAGAAGTTGAACACTTCATATCTCATTGGTGCCGACAAGAATGTCCAGATTGAACTTCCTGATGAGATTCAGGATGCTCTCAAGGCCTTCAAGACTGTCACCAAGTGGACACAAGTTGTCTACATTGCTGCTTTTATCGCCCTCGCTGCTGAGATCATTCTCGGCATATTCTCCAACTGCTCTCGCATATTCTCATGCTTGACATGGATCGTTGCTGGTATTGCATCTACTCTCGTTATCGCCGCTGTTGTGCTCTCTGGTGTGTTTGCTGGTACAGTCGTTGGTGCTGTTGAGAGCACAGCCAAGTTCTACGGTGTCAAGGGTGATATCAACGGCCGATTCTTCGCCTGTGTCTCTATCGCAGCCGCCTTCGCCATCGCAGCCGGTCTCTTCTGGATGTTCACCATCTGCTGCTGCAAGCCCGAGAGCCGAAGTCGCGACAAGAAGAACCGCCGATCCGACGGCGAGAAGCTCCTTGGTGGTGGTGCAGCCAACAAGCACGGCTCTTACGCCCCTCTCGGCGACGACCACGAGATGCAGACCGGCTACTACAACCACAACCAGTCCCAGTCTCAGTACGGTGCTCCTCGCTACCCCAGCGGTACTGCCCGTTCTGATCTCGCCTACGAGCCTTACTCTCATCGCGCTTAAACCGCTGCGAGTACTCAATGACATGATTCCTTAAAGTCTATTTGACTTTGACATCTGATGATGACTGCATTAATGGCGTTTGGGCTTGACTTTGACATTCGGGATCGATTGACAGGGTAATGTTTGCTATAGCACTCACGCCTTCATGAAAGAGTTTTGGTTACGTTGTGGCTTTGCAAAGGAAGTTGGTGGATATTGGCAACGGGAAGATGCCGGATGGCATGATACCCAAACGTTTTCTTTATGAGATTATTGGGCAATGAATGAATATACATAGCTATCCTAAACGTTCGCCCTCAAAGCATAAAAATATATACAATTTATTCACTATTTTATCTGATTTGTTGTGATGGCCTAAGTGAAGAGTTTAATGATACTTCATCAGGATGGGCCTTGGTAGTATATAGAGCCAGTCCAAAAATTTTCTCATGGCTGACTGAGAATCCACACAAAACTTCATGCATATAATACAAATTTGACTCTACACCTGACTCGACGCAAGAGCTCCTGCGGTAGATGAAGATTGCTGTTGCCATGAATAAGTGAATTAGCGAGTATTTTAAACTTGTTCAATTTTTATTTTCCATTATCAATAATGGCAGATGTGAGTTATGATCATAAATGCCCCTCCCCCGCTATCATGAGCTCACACATGCCAGTCAAGCCTCACTCGCGAATTCTTTCAGGGTCCTATCACTTCGCTCACCTTCTTCCATGATGCGGAATATCTTCTCGCTGGCGAGGATACTCACTTGACTCTCTACGATCTTCAAACCGGCCATGCATTGCGTCTAGGTAGCGTTCGTGTCTTCTCTGCACAGCCTATTCATGGAATACGCCTGTTGAGTAGCGGACGAGTGTTGGCCTGGGGTGCTGCACAGATTGCAGTGGTGTCGAATATTGAGGGATTTATCGGAAACACGACGGATACTCAGGTGGTTGTGAAGAAGGCAGCCGCTCCAGATTGGATCTACGACGTTGCACCGTCACCATGTGACGACTCTTCTGCGGTGGTCGCAACGGCTCATAACGAGGTTGTCCACTTACATCTGAATGGAGACGATGCACCGGTCGTCGGATCTATTGTTTCGCCTTCACGGCCAATTCTCTACGCTGCAAGACTCAAATGGCTAGACCAAGACACTGTTTTAATGGCTGGAGGTACAATCTTTGGCGAGATTCTTGTATGGCGATGCTATGTTTCAGAGTGCCGCTCGGAACTTCTGGCCATTTTGAACGGGCACGAGGGATCCATTTTTGGTGTTGATATCTCAGAAGAACTCCCTTGTCAAGACGGAACCAAATTGAGGCTCATTGCAAGCTGCAGTGATGATCGGACAGTGAGACTCTGGAACATCACCGGACGAGATGCGTCCCTTCAGGGGCATGACTTCGCTGCACCACGAGAGACAGGATTCGGCTCAAAGGTAGGTTTGGACGATGGGCCTAGAGCGGAAGAACTACGTCCTGTGGCTACCATCATGGGACATTTGTCAAGAATCTGGGGTATCAAGTTCGCCCAACTCATGGAAGGCCAAACACTCCCAGAAAGCCCATTATCATTGTACTCTTTCGGAGAAGATTCGACATCTCAGAGGTGGCAGCTGAAACTCGATCTTTCCTCCGAGAATGTTTCTGGTTCTTTGAAGCACATCGAGACATACGCCGTGCACGATGGCAAGCATCTATGGGCGCATGCTGTAGTCAACAAGGGAGACCAAACCCTCATTGCAACAGGAGGCGCTGACAGCAAGATTTCTCTCATTACACAACCTGCCACATTGGCCACTACTGCGTCAGTATCAACCCACGAATTGCTTGGGCTTGGTTTCGATGCGATTGCTGCCACTCTGCCCAACCTACGAACCTTGAAATCTGTTCGTGGAAAAGAGATATTTAGCCGCTACGATTTCATTTCTGAAGATCGTATGCTCGTTACAACAAATTGGGGACGACTCCTCTTGGGCACGTTCCGACCAGCTTTGGAGTGGAGAGAGATTGAACTTGAAGATGAGCTCAACGTCGAATTTCAGACATGCTATACTCTCCAGACGATAGGTGACGGTGCTGCTATTCTCGGTACGACAAGTGGCAAGCTGTACTACTTCTCTGAATCAAAAGGGGTAAAGGTTCTCGGCTCTGTGCCGGGCAAGATCTTCAACATATCGATCCTGTCTAGTTCTGTGGGTGGCCTTACAGAACTCATTGTTCATATTCATGGAACTTCAGATTCCCAGTACTTTTCAATCGACTGGTGCACAGGAGCTGTTGTAGCAACAGCAGATATTCGCAGCATCGACAAGAGATTCGTTGCCATATCTGCTGCGCGTTTTAGGAATGATTTGATTGCCATAGGGTCGCGCCATGGCTTCCTTGCACTTTTGAGGCAGACAGGAAACGAGTTCCGTCCTATCCTGGACTTCAGGTTCAACACACGCGATGCAATTACCGGTCTGGTGCCTCTTCCAACAACCGATGGACAGGAAGCCCCCCTGTACTTCCTGGCGACGAGCAGAGATACAAAGTACAGAATATACGAAATTGAAGATCTCGGCGATGAAGTACGACTGCACCTCCAGCATGAGGTCGCTGCCCCTTCTGGTGCCGACATAGAAGGTGGTTGGTTCACTCAAGATGAATCTCCCGAACTGATCTTGTACGGCTTTAAGAGTAAGAACTTTATTGTATGGAACGAAACGCGTCGGGAAGAAATTGCCTCTGTTGATTGTGGAGGTGCACACCGAACATTTACCATTGCTCATGATTCCATCAACCACAACCGTGTGCGATTTGGTTATACCCGAGCAACAAAGCTTTACATTTTCTCGCAACACAACCCGATACACCGTCCTCTGAGATATGGAACACACGGAAGAGAGATTCGGGGGCTGAGTGCTAGTGGTCGGTATATTGCAACCGGCGCTGAGGACACAACTGTTCGGATCTGGGAGTATGAAGATGAACAGTGTGGAACGAAGAATAGTGGTGGACTTAGATGCATTGCCTCGACAAAGCTTCACATATCGGGACTACAAAAGATTCACTGGGTGGAGGATGACTACCTTCTCAGCAGTGCTGGTTTTGAAGAATTTTTCGTATGGTCTGTCCGAAAGCTTGACTCACAGTACAAAGGCCTCGGAATATTATGCGAAGCAATCCTAGAAGATAAGAGTCCTGCTGCAGATCTTCGCATCATGGATTTCGACGCATGCAAAGTTGGCAACGGAAGCATCATTATCACGATGGTTCTGTCAAACTCAACATTGAAAACATATCGTTACACACCAGGAGAAGGTTTCCACCTACTGGCTCGCATGTCGTACACGGGAGCTTGTCTCACACAGGTTCGCCATCTCGGGGTGGACGAGAACGGTCTTTCGGCACTTACTGCTTCCACGGATGGACACCTGACAACCTGGGAAGTAAGTTTCGGGAGGGAAGTGGCTAGCCATGCTCTTGTTCAGGTGGCTCCCGTGCACCAAAGCAGTATCAAATGCCTGGATCTTCAACCAACGCCCGAAGGGTTTCTAGTTCTCACAGGAGGCGATGACAACGGCCTTGGTGTGACAACACTTGTACCTATGTCAGACGAGTCGGACAAACGTAGATACACAACTTCAAGCCGTGGAATCGTACGCAAGGCCCATGCAGCAGCAATCAACGGTCTGGTGCTCGTGCAACGTGGGGGAGAGACATTCGGCATTACTGTCAGCAACGATCAGAGGGTCAAGGTCTGGAGTGTTCAAGTGAACAAGGTGAAACTGGTGGCCGACTCGTATAGTGGTGTTGCTGACCCAGGTGATATTGCTGTTATAGGGGAGAGTGGTGGCGAGAAGGTCAGTGTTGTACTTGGGGGAGTGGGTGCTGAAGTTTGGTCATGGTAGTTAGATTTGTGGGCGTTTTGGGATCAGAGATACATAGGACATCTAAGTTATTAAGGATCAAAAGTTTGATAGTTTAACCATAGCAAGACACATTTGGGTTGTTAGAGTGCCTAGCACAAAGGCCTTTCTTGAGCAGCGAAATCCTCTTGATCTGCTACATGTTGTTCGTGCTGACACATTAGAAAAAAGTGACTTTTATAGAAAAGAATAAAATTCACTATGATTATAATGTACGTGTTACCATTTCAACTTGTCAGAGGATCCGCATAGATCCAGCGTAGCTTATAGGCAAGTCTTCAGCTGAACAACACACAATTATGAATGGGTCAATAGTGAGTATCTGCGGAAGATACTATGGCAGGATAACTCGGGACCTCTATCCTAGATACAAGTACTTAGGTACACTTAGTATAAATTTGGTCGACCTTGAGACTACTTAACTACCTATTTCAAGCATTATGGTCCAAGGTCGGAAGTTTTTCCTGCTCCCCAAAGCATGGGGATACTCCACGAGAAACCGGTTCTTGATATCGAGCCATGCCTTTCCACCTTTTCCAAGAAAATACCCAGATGTGAGGGCCAAATGGTCAACGAGGGCTGGGCCAAGTAGTGCCACCTTTAGAAGTTGTAGTTCATCTTGAGGTTTCACAAAACTTGGTCACTTTGGATCGCTAATGCGAATCTTCCAAGAATTAAGGAATACAGTTCAGTACCAAGGAGACGGTCGTGAGAGTTGAGAGTTGTGAATGCGCATCATCAGGTGCTTGAATGGTATCTCGCCGCCCTCAGGAATGTCCTTTGATAGCACGATTACCAGCGTTGCCCTTTCTAATATAGCGTTCCCTACGTCATTAGATCTTACTAGTTCTTATCTTGATTCATGCTTCTGTTATCTCTCAGCAGAGCGCTATCCCAACCTCATAGTTTTGCCCGTAAATATGAGACATTGTCTGAACCCGGAATTTCGGAAGCGGCTGAGAAGTGCCAAGACATGTCTCGATTTCCACGCAATCCCTTGCATGAGGTGAGATTGTTCAACGGTCGCAACCGGCAGATGATGGCTTTTCAAATCCATTGGCTGGATGTTCGAAGATAAGGTGTTCTTATCTAACTACT